CCTGTAAATTTCAACTGCCTTTTCCGCATTACCAATTTCATTTCTAATTTTTAACCTCTGGTTAGTCTTCACGAACAACTAGGACTACTATTTTTCGCTTTGCTATCTAAGGACCATAATATAACATATTCTTTATTTTGAATGCAAATATCTGTGTCATTTACAATAGCAACATAGAATATTTTTCTACTCTGTATCTGTGCTTTGCAGCAGAGATACACCTGTTCTTACTTTTTTTTCTCCTTCAAATGAAAGGTTCCAGTTTTAGTTCACAAGACCAGCAGAAGATAAAACTTGCCATTCTTTCAACACCATTGAACAAATATTTATGTTATCTAGCTTGTATTAAGCACTGTTATGAAGATTTAGAAGTTATAAAACTAATAAAAAGTCTTGCCTTCATGACTCTTGTTTCTAGACAGAACAAAAAATCATTTTATCCATCCATCTAGTTTGGATGGTAATAGGTGCTCTGGAAAAAAAAAAGAGTATAAGGGAAGCTTAGGGGGTACTTGCAGTTTTAAGAAGGATCTTCATGAAGGTGATGACATTTGAGTAAAGGCCTTGTGGAAATAAGGCAAGAAACTTTCAGGTAGAGGAAACACATAGTACAAAGGTGCACGTAGGCTGTCACAAGCAGTAAGGAGTTTTACTTAAAGCATCTGTTAGGGACAAAAATACAGTCAAGGCTTTGTTGTTGCTATTAGGAATCCACCCACAAGAGAATTTAATCAGCTTAAGATGAACATCAGTGCAGATCTGTTCAGTGTTCTCTCAGGGCCATGACCTCATTGCTAATATTGACAACCTAGACTACTTTTTTGATTCAGTTTAGCATTTGATGCTGAATTAGTCCATTTTTTCTTGCTATAATAAAATACCAAAGGCAGGCTATTTTATGAAGGAAAGAGGTTTATTTTGATTCATGGTTCTGGTGGTGCAAGTTCTAAGGGTCTCTTTGAGTGATATTGTTCTTTGTGGCAGTCCTTAGGTGATACAGAGCATCACATGGCAAGAGACAGGGAGCATGTGTGTAAGTATGTCTTGTCTTTCTCCTTATCAGCCTACCAGGATTCAATCATGGGGGCTCTAACCTAATGACTTTAATACTAATCAGTTCCCAAATATCTCACCTCTAAACCCCATAGTCAGATTAAGTTTCTGCCCTCTTAATATCTCAGAGTGGGGATAAAACTCAGCATGTATTCTGGGGCAAAAACCATGTTGAAAGTATAGCAGATGCTCAGCTGGAAAACACAGATGAAATTAAAGGACAAGGTAGGCTTGATTGATTCTTCATTTTGTTCTCTCACCACGTGGAACCGCATATTAATCATATGTAGTCAGTGACTCCAAGTATTAAATTAACCTCAAATATGGTCCATTACCATTTTTGAACTAAAAAATAAGTATAACAGAATTCTACCTGAGATCAGCTAATGGTAGATTCTTGTCCCATAGACAGCCAAGGCATGAAGCTGCTGGGAACAGAGGTATTTCTTGTAGCATTCTGGAAAACACACTGTGCTTTCAATTTTATCTTCTTTTAGTTAGGACAACATAGTAAAGGTGTCACGACCAACATTAAGTCCTATGTAGAATTTTCAGAGATTGTTACACTTAACATTCAACAAACCTCTACTGGGCCTATTTATTCCAAAGCTAGCATAGTAGCTTAACAAAGATTCCAAGCCCATCGATCCATACCTCGTTTCAGGGAGTTCCATTTCTCTGAGGAGAACATTTTCTTAAAGCTCCTACGTACCCTTGAAGCCCACTAGAATCCTCAATAAGAATAAAGTAGTAAGAGCTCAACAAAAAGACATTTCAAAGCAGGTATAGAGTTTATTTTAGTCCATCTTTGATTTGTTTGAATCCCGAATCCCTTAGGTATGAAGATCACTACTTATTTCATGGAATTAGTAGTTTTAAAGACAAACAAAATATCTTTAGCAAAGAGAAGGTGATTGAATTTCCAAATAAGTCATTACAAATACGACTTACCAGGAACTGAAAATATTAGCATCATACTAATTCTCTCCATAATCACTTTAAGTTTGCTTTTAGATTTAAATTGTTTATGATAGATTTGAACAAACCAGAAAGCCTTAAAATATGGCCAGGTATCTTGTTTTAGATCCAAATCAAGTATTGATCACTGTGACTATGGTGTAGTACCAATTTAGAATTATTGTAATCTAATGTGTTCAGATTGTTCCATACTTAGACTTAGGAGTGGTCAGAGATAACATTTCTAAAATGAAACCATGCTGTAATCAAATCAACTTAGACATTTACCCACATTTTTTAACTTTACATATTTTTTATCTGTCAAATTTTGTTCTTGCTATTCTGAAAATGTTACCAGAAAGAAAAGCAATTTATTGTTCTTTTTACTCACAGAAAGAATTGATTTCTAAATTAAGAATCATCGATGTTTAAATTGAAAACTAATACAATAGATCAATTACATCAAATTTGAACAAGTAGAATCATTTGGAAAACAAAAAAGAAATGTCTTCACTTTTAATTTTTTTAACTAATGGGAACTTATTTATCTCACAGATAATATTTGTGGACTACTACAAATACTCTATTGATCATGAGCTCACAGCTCTAAGCTATGAGGCACTAGAGCAGAGGGCTTACTCAGATTCTTGGGCCAGTCCTTCTGGTTTAGATTCTCAGCTCCTCCTTTACTAGTTTAGTAATCTCAGTGTTAGCTTGTTTGTGCCTCAGCTGGCAACACAGTGGGTATTAATAGTAGATATACCTTGTGGCTTATATGAGGAATGAATGAGTTGACACATATAGGCACATTGTTAATGTTCAATAAATGTTAGCTATGCTTTTAATATGTGACAGAGTGAGGAACTATCACTAGCCTAATGGAATAAAGTGCTAGATACATTTCTTGTATTTTTATTGGATTTCATCAATTTTTAAATAAAAGCTAGTATGCTTTGTGGTATGAGCACACAAGGAAGCAGAGAGGGATGACTTCTCTAAGTGAAACTGACCCCTGCATATAGTGCCTGAAAACAGAGGAAGCTTGTCAGTATGAGCAGACACCAGAAGTAGACCAATCTGACATCCCACTTCTCCTTTTAACCTGGTGGAAATTAATGGATGGTATCAAATGTGGACTCTTACTTGTTCTTGATTACAGATTAAACCTTGTTTTACTGTAGGGGTAAATTCAGGGTTACGTTAGTTTTTTAAAATCTTTGTACTTCCTCAGTTTCATTGCAGAATAAAAAACAAATTTACCACAATGGATTGTTACGTTATGTTGGGTATTTATTCCTCTCAAGAGGCCATCTGCTTCGGGAAAGGCAGTAAGGTGCTCTCCATTAATATATCTGATGGTGTAATGACGTAAAACTTCTTGTTGACCTCTGCCATTCGGAGTTATTGTCTTGGAACATAGAATTTGATTATCTCTTTTCACTGCATAACTACAAATGTTAGGATAGGCTGTAAAAGTAAGTGCCCTTTGTTTAATTCAGGTTCCAGACATTTCTTCTAATCACATGAAGTTTTTCTGATTATAAGGCTACTAAGCCATGAAAGCTCAGATTACTGAAATTAGAGGGGAAGGAATGGATTCTTTTGGTTCTAACTCTAAACATCCCACCGGATGCAGGTGTACGTGCAAAGCAAGTTTGCCTTAAGATTCCTCTGTCTCAAGTTGTACAGATTGCCCAGGAGGGTGGAGCCCTTGCAACCTGCTTACCCGGGCATATGCGTGTCGGTGGGTGTCGGAGCACGCGCAGGGCACACATGGACCTACTTTCCTAGTCTCGCTCTCACCTCAAAGGCTGTCAACTCGAAGGTCCCTCCCCGCGCGCACGCCCCCTCCTCAATCCTCCGCTTCTTCACGCCCCTCCCCCAAAGTGGAGTACATCAAGATCATTGGCTAAAGTTCCTCTCACTCCTATTCCAGAACCAATCACACGAGCTGGGGTGGGGAGCAGAGGAGCCAATGGGAGTGTTCCTTGCGGCAACTGCCGGGTCCCGACCGCCGGGAGGCGGTGCCGGGGGCGGGGTGCGGGTGGAGGATTAGTTGCCATTCCCAGTGAGAAGCGGGTAGAGGCGGCGGCGACGGCGTTTGCGGTGGCGCGGGCTCCGCGGAGCGCAAGGCACCTTGAGGCCCTTTTCCCCTATCCCCGTCCCTAGAAGCAGGAACCGCGGCCCTCCCTGCAGCTGCCGAGTTCTCCCGCGCGTGCCGTCCCCAAGGGCTGAGGAGAAGGCTGCGAGCGGCCCCGGGGCTGCGTGATCCGGGCGGGTGCCCTGTCAGCGCGATGCCCGGGGAGGTGGCGGCGTCTCCGGGCTCCTCGCGGCCCCGGCCGTGACCGCCACGCCGATCCCAGCTAGGCTGTTGGGGCCGTTGGACGTTTGTTTTCGCAGCCTTCCCCTCCCCCCTCGCTGAGGCGGCGGGGGTGCGCGTTGGGAAGGGGGAGCCCAGAGACTCCTCCCCCTCCTCATACCCCCGCCCCTCCCCCTTACACACTCGCACGCACTATCGCGCCGGCTCCCACACGCTCCCGCGCCTCCGTGTCGGCCGGCGTCGTCCAGGGCCCGCGGAGCCACCATGTCCACTGCCTCCTCCTCCTCCTCCTCTAGTTCCTCTCAGACCCCTCATCCCCCGCCGCAGAGGATGCGGCGCAGCGCCGCGGGCTCCCCGCCGGCCGCCGCCGCCGGGAGCGGGAATGGTGCGGGCGGTGGCGTGGGCTGCGCCCCGGCTGCAGGAGCCGGTCGGTTGCTGCAGCCCATCCGCGCCACGGTGCCCTACCAGCTCCTGCGGGGCAGCCAGCACAGTCCCACTCGCCCGCCCGCCGCCGCCGCCTCGCTGGGCAGCCTCCCGGGGCCCGGCGCGGCCCGCGGCCCCAGCCCGCCCAGCCCGACGCCGCCGCCGGCCACAGCCCCTGCCGAGCAGGCGCCGCGGGCCAAGGGCCGCCCGAGACGGTCCCCTGAGAGCCACCGGAGGAGCAGCTCACCTGAGAGACGGAGCCCCGGCTCGCCGGTGTGCAGAGGTAGCGAGCCCAATCCTCCTGTCCTCCCGGGCTGCGTCTCCCTGATGGTGTCCTCCGTGGAAACTTCAGCCTCTCCGGGCTTCTCTTTGCTAGTGCATTATTGAAGGTGTGAAAGTGGCTTTGGGAATCTCACCCCCCTGCGGTCGCTGCGGGGCTTGGAGGAGCGAACTGAAAAGCAACTTTTATTTGACCCTCATGTCGCCCCTCAGATTTTATCTTCCATCACTCGCCTGCGTCGAAAGGTTTTTCAGTTTAAGAGCTGATTAGTTCTCTCTCCCGTGTGTGTGCTGTTTGTAACCGGGTAAGGAAGAGCTGGGCGAAACACTTAAAACACGCACATAAACTCTCCAACTGCGGATAAGGTGGCTGGTAGTTGTAATCTCGGCAGTCTCTTTGTGCTTTCCTATGAAGTTCCTAACGTGACTGTAACTACCAGGATATATGTGAGAGTGTGGGTTTGTGTGTGTAAAATGTGCCTGTAACTATCGAGACACACACACACGCGTATATACATACATATGTGTATATATACATATGGATATGTGTATATATTTATTCCATTTCCGGAGAAGTAGTGGCGTTATAAGGCTGTGTAAAGAAGACAGTTTGGGCTGTGCAATTGTATAGGTTTTTTTTTTTTTCTTTGCAATCTCTCTTCTCTACTTTATATAGTCATGCATCAGAGCACAACTGCCCCTTGAAACGGTTTATGCCAAACTCATAGTTTTCACGATAAATTTCTAAAAACCTGTTTGTGGAATGTGTTCACCTTTTCTGTTCATTTTTAAGTACACTTAACAGTTCAGTTGAGCTGTGTAAAGATCTCAAGTTTCTTTTTTGTTAGATGTCAGAGGTAATGATGAGCTAGTGGATGTTGTGGGCTTCCCATAATGTTTTCTGTTTTGTTTTGTTTATGTCTAGGGACGAAGTGCATGATCTAGTTGAGTCCTGGGGGAGAAAAAAATAAGCCAAAACAGGGACTTAAAGCCCATAAGGGAGAGTGAAGTAGCTAATATTATTAGGCACCAGTTAAGGGCTACAGTTGCTGCTGCTGCTGCATTGTGGAGGGAAGGGATCATACTGAGTGGAGAAATCTCTGCTTGGAGGGGAAACACTGTCAAGTTCTGTGCAATGTTTATGTGGTATGTGGAATTTTTAAAATAGAGTTTTCTTGATGAAAGTGTTAGTGTTAGAAAAGCGATTTTGTTATGATAGATCAGTTTTGGTGTTTTTAGTTTTAATATTTCAGACCTGTATAATTTGCATGTTGCCAAGGCACTTGTTTTCAGACCACTTGATGGTGAGCCCCAGTGTAGGATGTAGTGCAATGGGATAAGTACATGAGCTCCAAGGAATACATCCTGTAATCTGTATGCACCAGGAGGAATTTGCTCCCCCACTCCTCCCCCAGGTCAAGCCAGCTGCTGCAGAAACTGACATCCTCCAGCAAATCCTGAATGAATGAATGAAAACAACGTGATCTCCCTAATAATGACCACAACTGAACACACATCTTTGGCTGTATTTTATAGAAAAGACCACCATTTTCCAACAGATTAATGCCATATGCAACTCCTTTGCACATTTTCTAGATCTGTATTAAATGAGAGGTAGTAGAAAGAAAGAAAAGAAGGCAGTTAAATACATTTTTCGTGATTTAGCTTTAACAATGCATAAATTGAGTTTTGGGATTTTCTTTTAGGGACTAATGTAAAAAGCATAAAATAATGTTACAGATTGTGTACAGAGGATTTTGGGGCCAGAGTAAGAGGAGTTTTGGCAATTCCTGCAACATTCTAATGGCCATCTAGTATCTCCTTTCCTTTTGTTGATAAACAGTAACATATTACAACAGATAATAGTACAACTTGTTTTTCTGCATCCTTCAAAAGCCCTAATGGTTTAGGAAATTACATGCCCCATCATCAAGAAGTTTTAATGAAACTTGTGATCAAGCTTAAACTTTCCCCTTTGTTGTAGCATGGTACATCCAAGTTTAATGCAATTTTAATGCAGTCATGATGAAAACACTTTTCTGAGTCTGGTTGGGCACTAGACAGATTTGCAGTGTCAAAGCTTGTGCTGGGAATTGAAAGGCTTTCTCTGCTAGAGATGTTTTTCTGCTGTTCTTAACACCAGGTGGTTTTGTCAGCTTCTTCCATTGAAGTGATTTTGAATGCAGGCTCCTGTGTCCCTAGTTCCTTGATTATATTACCTCTATGTTACTTCTCCACATCCTGCCTTGTTTCTACCTATATTAAAACTACACAAGTATTCTATCCTATTTAGCCATTTAAAATCCATGTTATGAGTTGATATAATTTTCAACACTCATTTTCTTTTGAATTCTGCAAGATTCTGACTTCAGTAGATTTTAGCCTCTGCTGGTCAGGGTTCTTGCCGCTGCCACTACTGCTGCAGACACTGACATCACTATACTGCATGAATGAAAAACAACAACGTGCTCCATTTCTTCCTCTCTCTCGACCCCCTTCCTTTTCTGTACATTTCACAGTGTGTGTGTGTTTGATAGTAGTATTGCACTGTGCTTTGAAGCTACATTTAAAAATATTAAGTAAATGGTGGCTTAGGGGATATGTATTTCCTATAGAGTCATATTGTTTATAGAAACCTTCCAAGTGCTGTGGGCATTTGGATTAGAAACGACAACTGAGCTTTCATTATTTTGTGCATTTTATCTGGAGTGATGGTTATGGAAGAAAAATAGAGGCTTTACAGAGTTTTTGCTAATTCTTTTACCAAAAAGAAATTATGAAACAACATAATCTCTAAACACATTATGTCATTATTTTTCTCTTAAACATTTGTAGTATACCTATTTATAGGGTTAAGGCTAGACTGGTAGAGAATTGATATTCAGATTATTTCACAAAGCTGAGGAAAAGCTGACATCTATAAATAGGAGCAACGATAATATCATGTTAATTATAAAACCCAGCAAAAAGATTAATTTTCTTTAGTTACATGGCATAGTCCTAGATAGCTTAAATGGGTATCATAACAGAAGATGCATAAATTGGCAAAGATCTTGCTCTATCTAGAAGACATGGAGTTTTACAAATTGAAACTGTTTTGTTTATGCTCATGGATCATCCTCAATTTGTTTGTATTTTTTCTTTCTTTTGTATTATTAAAACTACAAGGTTTGTTATTTATGTTCATTTCTGTACTTCTGCCATTAACAAAATGTCACCCTCCCCCTTGTTTGGTTCTGAAGGGTCTTGAAGTGGTGAATGACAAGCTGCTGAATGCGTCTTCAGACTCCCTGTGATGTGTTTGTAATAGATGTAAAATCATAAAGTATTATGCAAATAGTTATTTTTTGTAATGGTAATACATAAAGTCTACCTTTGAGATAAATAGAACAGCTCAAATGAGACTACAGCAGAATGTTAATGTTAAAATTAATGATCTTTAAAAGCATTAGTAACAACCAAAAGAAAATATAATAAAGTTGCCTCTTTCTGAAAGCTCATTGAGCAAAACCCATGAATTTAAACACAGAAGAAAGCCAATTTTACTGTGTGAGATAGTAAGTAGCAAGTACAGATCCTCTTGTGGTTTTTTAGTAAAGATTGAGTATTGGGATGAATTATAAATTCTGAAGTATGTAAAAACAGTTGCATCAGAGAACCTCAGATTGGAGAATATTGCATATTTCAGATGCATTGAATCTAGTAACAAAAATATGAAAAAACTTGAAACTTACATAGCTCCTCCTGTGAAAAATAGCATGTGTTGGTTTCTGATTTAACATATCAGATTTATTTTGACCTAATACTGTATAGAATGAAATTTGATTAGAATTTTTCATAATACCTTGAAAACCTCATTGTTTATACATACAGAAATTATGATTTTATTTTAAAAGATAATGTAAAGCCAAGCCAGTATATAATGGTGACTGTGTGCCATGTATGTATGTCTTTGTGTTTTAATTAGTCCACTTTCAGTTTTTTATTCTTTTCATTAAATCCCTCTTTTTCAGTCATTTTTATGCTGGGCTGAGTTGTGTAATGCAAACATTTTTTAGTGATTTTTTCCTCTCTTTAGAGATAGTCATATTCTCTTCTTGTAAAGTTTATTCTTAGACTGATATTCTTGGATATTAAAGTCTCTCCTCCCCCTTTTAAGATGAGGTTTTAAAATAGTATTTAAAGGAAAATTTTTCAAAGCTTTGCTGTATTAGAGTGGAAATATGTGTAAATTTTAGCTTTTTCTAAAATAACAGATTTCAAATACTGATTTTGGGGAAAGGTTTTCAGCCTCTGAGAACTATGCTAAATAGCAACAATAGTCATTATTTATGGATCTAATTCTTCCCATTACTTAATTCATGGTGCATAAAATTTCCAGATCAATAAGTGAATAGCCAAATAGACAAGTGAATTTGTCAATATACTATGTTATGTTTAAATATTGTATTCCTCTATTACTCTAAGCATATTGAATACTGAATGTCTGTGGTGTATAAAAGCACCTTAATTTTTAACTAGATATAGGATTGTGTGTGTGTGTGTGTGTGTGTGTGTGTGTAACTGAAAATCATTTCATTAATTTTAGTACTTTTTACACAACATACTTCACTCACTGTAGTGTACATTTCTGCAAAGACCTATTGCAAATTAGCATTTGTATACTGGGATAATGTTGAAGTATAATGATATCTTTGCAATTTTGATCTTATTTGTGATAATGTATACTTCATGTGAATAAGAAAACAAGGGAGTAATTGGTCCCTTTGCCATGAGTAAAATGGAAATAAATGACAGTGTTCAACAGATAGGCAAGAGTTTTCCTTAAGTTTGAAATTTAAATCCTAAATGCCTATTTTACCAAACTGTTAGCATGGAGTTAATAATCTGCCTAAGAGTATATGCTAAAAACTTTATTTTTCTTAATTTTAGTTTGATCTTTTCTCCAGAACTTAGAATTCCCAGATACCACCCAAATAGGCTTTTCTACAGTACCTGTCCTGAGTCTTGTTAGTCTTTTGTTTTCAGTATATAATTTTGTGCTCTTACTAATAAATGTCTAAGAACAAATCATTGACACTCTTTTCTGTCCTGTACACTATTTAATTATTTTGACAAGAGGCTGACCTTATTTGTGTATTCTGATATCTAACTGGTTTGCCAAAAGCAAGCAGAAGAAAGAGAACACTACTCATCTCTAGGTATAGAAAGTCTGGGGAACTGATGAAGTACCAGAAGCCACCTGTCTTTCCCGTATTTACCCTTCTTCTGGATCCCTGAAAATGACTGTGACTTCACTCATCATCCAGCTAGTCTTTGTTTTGCAAAACAAAGTATAATGGATTATCAGTAATTCTGAAAAATCTAAGGATTTTACTTATGAACAAATTCTAGAAAAGTACTCTTCTAGTATTTCATTTTACAAGGAACAGACATGACATTACTGTGTGAGCACTGCTGTTTACTTCAAGGGAGTGTTGTTGAGGCAAATACCAGGAGGAGGCAAATTCATGAATACCTCAAGCACTTTCCCCTATCTTAAGCTGTCTTTGGTTGTAGGTAAGAAG